CTTTGCTCCGCGTCTCCCTGGTCTGCTGGGGGGGGTTCTCCCTGGTCTGCTGGGGAGATGCGGAGCAGCTTTTCTCACCCCGGAGGACGCGGGCGGTGGGACCGTGGCGCGTCTGGGCGGTCCCCCGCCCCCGTCCTCCGCGGCGAGAAAAGCCCCGTTCGTATGTAGGGATTCGACGTAAGTCGGATCCACGTAACTTGGGGACTGCCTGTACTGCGAGGAGCCTAGCATCAGGCTCCATGTGGCATTTCAAAGCAGCAGTGCTGCTTGGAGACTGGGATCAAGTGCCTCTTTGAAGTATCTCCTCTCTTTTCCCCATCCCTTGTGGCCTCTAATAGAGACAGCAAAGGGAGAGGGGGAAGTGACTAGTTGACTATCCGATAAGCAAGTGTATTTGCTTATCGGATACTCAACTAGTCCTTAAAACCCTTACATAAGTTTATTCCTGATTTTACTTCAGAAAAACTCAGCTTTCCCCAAAGGAATCCCATCCTATACTTGCTTTCTCAAAAAAAACCAGAAGAGTCAGTGAGTTCAACAGAGCTTACTCCAAAATTAAGTGCAGTCTAAGTACAGTCACAGTCTTAGCTTTTTTGGTCATTTGAAATCAGATCTGCATCCTTACTAAAAATATTAATGATTAACTGAACAACAGAGTGAGAAGGACTTAGGACACCTATTCAAAATCATTTTTGAATTTTGTTTCAGGATCCCATTTTAGCATAAGACACCGTCTATCTGCAACAACTTCAGAGTCATCCATTGGTACTTTTAGCAGCAGTGCTGCAATCAAACATACAAATTGTCAGTAGCAAGCAAAATTTTTGATTATCCAGTAAAACCACCACCATGGATGGGTTTCTGATACCACAATAAACTTAGCAATCTTCATCTATGCCACAAATTATCCTTTTTTGCATTGCTAACAATAAACACTTCACTGACATGGCTGAATCCTTACAATCAGACTGCATACCACCTGGCAGAGCAGACATTGGTGGAAGGTCTCTAGATAGGGTGTATGAAAAGAACTTGCACAGGTTGCAAGAAATGCCAAGAGGAAATTTGCCAGTTTAAGCTATGATGGATGGAGCAGTGTACACAATGATCCAGTAATATGTAATTGTGTGAAAACAGAAGATGGGGTTGCATATCTTTCAAAAATGATACATTGGGAAATGCTCACACAAGTGAATATTTAAAAATGTGGCAATGAAAGCTGAAATAAATTGAACAAAAATTCAACTGTGGTGTGCAGTTTTGTCTCAAACAATGCTACAAACATGGAAACAATTATTAGAGCCCTGAAAATCCATAGATATCTGCGGGTTTCTGCAGCCACAGATATGGATGTGATCTCCATGACTAGTTTTTGCAGATACAGATGCAGATCCAAACTGCCCAGAAGATGAGAAGATACTAAAAAGAAACAGAAGACTATTTCTTCACGTATGGCTGCAGTGCCAACGCTTTCTTCAGCCAGAGGCTTAACATCTTCTCCAGGAAGAGAAGAGAATGTTGCAGTAGCAAAATACTTCATTAACAACCATTTCCCTTCAGTGAAACTGAAGCAATCAAGATCCAAACTAATTGTCCTTTATGATTTTCAATGGAATTTGTGTTTGATTGTTTTGAGCAATTTATTAAGAACAGCCTACTTTCATACAACTTTTCAAAGAAAACCATCATTAAATAAATGGAAAAAATCTTACCCAAACCATCTACCATTGGATTTAAGAGGAATGTAGATATGCTCAGTATACTGAAACCTATATCCATAGCCTTAAACTTCAGAGAAACTGTTGCTTCATTGCTGATGCTGTTGAAATTTGGACAGTCCTTCAAAAGACACTGACAAAAGAAATCTCACCAGACAGTTCAACTGCAGGCAACAAAGAAATGAATAGATCATTTTCCTGCAAAATTCTCAATTCTATATATAAAGACACCTAAGTTCTGAAGAAGATGCTGCTGCCATGCATGGGCATCTCAAAAATCACGTCTCAGTTATGCCAGTCATAATGCGATTTAGGACTATAATGAAACCATTTAATGAGTACAAGTTTCTTGAGGATGTTGTGAACAAAGTCACTCCTCCGAGCTGGTGAAAATCATTAGGCAAGCACCCTGAAACCGTTACTGAGCCAACTTTTTACAGCAGTAGCTTCCTTGGCAGAGAGAATATTTTCATCATTTGGTATTAGATGCTCAAACCTAGGAACTTAAAAAAGCTGGAACACTCATTTCTGTTTCAGTCTATCAATCAAAATGACCATTGTAGTGTGAAAGATGAGAGCTAGTTGTATAAGTTTTATGAATACTAGACATTTAGTGTTGTGATGACTTGTGTGATAGAGTTAATAAAACTTGAAAAATAAAAGGGCAGCCATCAGTCAGCAGTTCAGAAGACTGCCACAACTGCAATGTGAAACAGTTATTTAATATTTAATATTTAGTTTAATAAAATGTAAGTGTGTGATTTAGTTCTTACCATACCTAATGGTAATTCTGGTGCACACAAAAAAATCCTAGTTCCTTACTGAAAATTTTGTAAACTAAAGAAAGAATGGTCTTATCAGACAATACATTGTAGTATATGCTTCAATGTTAACATCTCAGATTCATTAACCAGTTTAATGTTTTGCTATTTAGCATTTTATTTTTTAATAAGCTATAGGTTGTGTATGTATAAATAGATAGATATTGGACAAAATAAAACATTTAATTCCAGAAAATGAAATAAAATACTATACTCAATACAGATGTCTCTTGGAAGAAAAATACTTTAGTTGCTATTTATGGGCCTGGAATCTTTTTATAAATGAGCATGCATTACTCAAGTAGTACAGTTTGAGCCTTTTACATGAATTCCTAATTTCTAGTAGAACATTAAGAGAGAGGGTGGGGGTGGGTGGGGGTGTGCTCTCCTAGTTGTATACCATAGAAACAGAGGCGGCCAATCTCCACCTTCTCTTACAGGTCCTGTGATTGCCCCCGCCCTCTCAGAAAGCTTGATGTTTCATAGCTAGGAAAGGACGCAGCAGAACAAGTAGAAACAGGATTGGGAAGGGGCGGGCGGGGGCACTCCTCAGGTAACCCTCTTTTGTCGGCCTTCAAACAATGTCCTCTTACACCTCCCCAAGTCCCTCATAGCCACCCCCCTCATCTGTTCTTATTGGAACAGCTTCTGAACACTACAAAGGACTGCAATATGAATGGAGCATAAACCCATCTGTGTAAATTAGATTTTCACTGATCAAACCCAAGTATCAGAGGACAGAAATTTCACAGGATCTCAAAAAAGGCCTCCCAACAACCACCTATAAAACGGGTACCTGTCACTTCTAAGGCACCAGAGAGAATAACCAAGAGATAGCACACTTAACCCAACCCTTCCTCTACCTTTAGCCTGCCAGAGACATGGGAGGCAAAAGACAAGGGAGCAGAGGAAGAGACTAGGAACATGAAGGAAAAGAGATGAATGAGCAGGACTTAAGCCTCTCACTGATATCGCGCTACTCTGGCAGATCCCTGGCCCAGACACACGCGCCTGCCCGCGTCTCGGCTCCGCTACCCCAAGCCCTAAAGGCTGCGAGCGCCCTGTCCCAAGCCCGGGGGCAAGAGACGTTCTGCCCGGCGGGTGAAACGAGCGGGCAACAGCGCGCGGGGCTTCTCAGAGAGACGTCGGGCACCCCTGCGGAGCACGCTGAAGCGCCCTACCCTCCGGCCAGGGGTGCACCGAGC